TGAAAGGCTTTTTTTTAACACGTTTTTTTATTTTTTAGTCATCGCTGCCGGGGCCCCGCCAAAAATGTTTGAATTGGGCCCCGCACTTCCTAAAGCCGGCCCTGAGTGTTACAATAGATTAGAATACTGTCAGGGTTTATTATCCAGTTGTATTGCCATAGGTGTAGGGTCCCCCCAACCAGTACCTGGGCCCCACTGCACTAGACGTTGCCCACACAAAGGCAGTCTCTGCCCTAGGGCAGTGGCTCATGTTGGCCTAAGGCAGTGGTTCCCAAACTTTAACAACCTGTGAACCCCTTTCATTAAAATATCAAGTCTCACGAACCCCCTCCTAAAAATGAATATTTCCAGGTTTTTTCTCCTTTACCTGAGTATAAATTATAAAAACAGTGATCTTGGAAATATAACATTTGTTCTTATGACATGCTTATTACACACTATTTATTATTAATTATTAGTTATCATTATCGTATTTTTATTATATTATGAAAACGGCAACACTCTTCCAAGATTTCACTTTCGTCGCTTGTATCACTTTGAATAAGCCTGATATAAGACAAGGCTCCTATGTTTCACCAAGGAGTATCAGATGTGAAACAGCATAAAGGTATTTAAGAAGCCAACTCAAAGAGTTCCTCCTTCCACAAGCATTCAGGTCTTGAGCAGTCCCGGCAAACAACGCACGATACAACAAAGCTTAAACTTGTTCTTCATAATAATTTTAAAAACAATACTATCTGTCTATTTAATTTTAAAATCAGCAAAAAAATATTCACCTCCCTTTCCATTTCTTATAAGGAGTCTTGGAGTTTAAATCTCCTCAGTGTGCTAGATATGCTTGCTTTGATCTGCTTAACTCTTGGAAGTCCAGGGACTCCGGGCTGCTGGCCCCCTGCTGCCCAGGGTCCCTAAGGACAGCTCTATCCGCCATTAGGGAATTTTTTTCCCAAGAACCCCCTGTAACATTTCGTGAACCCCCAGGGCTTCATGAACCCCAGTTTGGGAACCACTGGCCTAAGGGAAACCCGCTGCTACCGGACCCTCATTAGGGGTGTGTCGGGCTCTTCAATGGTTGGCCTCAGCCCTGCCGGAGGAATGAGTCCCACAGCCCCGCCCTCTCGAGCTTTGAGCTGGTCTGTGTGGCTGAAACACACAAGTGTGAGCCGGGGCCCTGGCACGTGTGTCCAAGGGCGCCAGCGCCGAGCACCGGGGTGGGGAGGGGGAGTAGGAGGGTCCTGGGCGGTGTGTCAGAGCTGGCTGGGGAGAGGCCGGCAGGGGGAAGGCGCCTTGTTCCTTTAAATCGCGGGAGCTGAGCGCAATCGCCGCAGGGAGCGGACGCTGGGCTCAGTTAAGGGAGTCCCTCCTTCCCCAAAGCGCAGCACGTGGCGGGACGATGAGTTG